TATATCTTACTATTACTCGTCCAGATATTGCATATGTTGTTCATATTGTTAGTTAATTTGTTGCATCTCCTACTACAGTTCATTGGGCTGTTGTTGTTCGTATTTTGCGTTATCTTCGTAGCACTTGTTTTCAGAGTCTCTTATTTCCGTTAACATCGTCTTTAGAGCTACGTTTGTACTCTGATGCTAATTGGGCTAGTGATCGGACTGATCGTAAGTCCACCACTGGTTTTTGTGTATTTTTGGGTGATTCTCTTATCTCTTGGAAAAGTAAGAAGCAAACTATTGTTTCTCGATCTTCTACCGAGGCTGAGTATCGTGCTATGGCATCCACTACTACTGAAATTATTTGGCTGCGTTGGTTACTTGCAGATATGGGTGTTCTTCTTTCCACTCCGACTCCTATGTACTGTGATAATAAGAATGCTATTCAGATATCCCACAACTCCGTATTTCATAAGCGGACAAAGCATATTGACATTGATTGCCATCTCATTCATCACCATCTTCTGCATGGCACTCTTACTCTACCTTTTGTTTCTTCTTCAATGCAACTAGCTGTTTTTTTCACGAAATCACATCCTGTTCAACGATTTCGTTTTTTGATTAACAAACTCTCCATGCTTCTTGCTGTCACATCGTGAGTTTGAAGGGGGATGTTAAAGGGTAGAATTGTAGTTTTATTTACTTGATTAGGGTAGTTTGGTCTTTTGCCTTTTTTTATTTATTCTCTCTTGTAATCTCATTTTCATTAACGATTTGTTCAGCCCCTTTTAGTTTGGAACCCTTATTTCCATTGTTGTCTTCTTCATCTTGCTATCATGATTTCCATAAGATAAACATCTAAAGAACATAGCCAGGTTCCCAAAATTGGTTGTGTAACTTGATAAGTGTATTTTATACACTTATTCGGGGTCTAAAATAGCGATATTTGATAGTTCTTTTGACAAAATATATCATTTTTTATGTTATATAGATAAAACTCAATGGTTGGACGAGAAATTGAAAGATAGAAAGAAAATTGGTGAAAATGGCAAAATTCAAAGTTTGGGGATCAAATTGCAAATATTCAATAGTTGATTCGGACCAAAAGATGAGTTTGAAGATTTTTAGAAGACAATTTGATGGAATTTGAATTAAAAAAGGAACAGAATATGATCAAAATATTATCACAATCAATGTCCAATCGTGCAAATTATATTCCAAATTTTTAGTCGAATATTGAGATCCATTTTTGGCATAGCAAACGTTCGAATTTGGAAAATTCTATTTCTATCAAAGTTGTAGCCCTTCGAGTTATCTTTCCAGCATACTTGGAATCGTTTCAATCGGATATCAGAGGGAAAATTATGCTCAAACTACTGAATGTTATGTAGAGACAAAAAATTCGCACGCGAAGAGAACTTTCCTTATTTGATTGAAACTCTTTTGGAAGTCCATTTGGACGTGATTTTCA